GGGGGGGGGGTTTCATCTGGACCTTGCAAACGGAATGCGTAGCCTGTTGATGCTAACCCAGATGGTGCCCTCCCCCCTCTCTTTTTGGGCCGGGGAGGTGTGGGGGGAAGAGAGAGAAAAGAAGGGTCTTGTGAGTGAGTGGGGCCCGGACAGCCTCGTGCATTTGGGCGTGGGCGTGCCTCGTCCTGGCTTAGCTTTTGCAAGAGGCAACCCGGCCCGGGTGGGTTGCAATGCCTTGGAAGCCACCCTCCCACCCAAAGCTGGTGAGCATGCAGACTTGGGGAGGGGGGGGTCTCCTCCTGCTTAGCTGGACGGAGGGTTGGGGATTAGGCTGGGTTTAGGGGGGGGGTTGAGGAGTTGGCCTTTGGGCGTGGCCTTCCTTGCCGGGCGGGCGCAGCAGAGGAGGAGGAGGAGGAGGGGGACCTGGCTGGTAGGCGTGGCCAAGCGCCAGGGAAGAGAGCTGGCTGCGGGCTGCATCTTCGCGATTGCCTTTTATGGTAATAGTGGGAGCCGGCAGGCAGCGGCCGCTCCGCTTCCGAAGGCTGCCCTGGAGAGCGCCAGCCTCGCCCTCTAGTGGCCGCGTTGGGGAAGAAGGCAGCAAAGCGGAAGTGGGTGGGGCCCTGCCAGCTGGGTTGTGGCTGTTTTTGTTGGCTGTTCCTTCAATGGGTCTTTCTCCCTCCCCTTCCCCAATGCCCAGATCTGCCATGGATGATGATATTGCAGCGCTCGTGGTCGACAACGGCTCCGGCATGTGCAAAGCCGGCTTCGCGGGAGACGATGCGCCCAGGGCCGTCTTCCCCTCCATCGTGGGTCGCCCCAGGCATCAGGTACGCCCCCTGCTTCCTGCCAGGGGAGTATGGAAATTAAAGGCCTGACAAGTTGCTAGGTCCTCAAGGTCACCTTTTTAAGGCTGCTTGGGGAGAGCAGGTTCACAGCCTTGCAGGTGGAACCTAGGTTTTATCCTGGTTTGGTCCCTGAGTGTTAGCCTGCTTGGTGGGGGGGGGGGGGGGGGCTGCCCGTTCTTAGCACATCTCCCCTTGTTTTTTCCTTGACCAGCTTGGAATCCAGGAAAGAAATGTAAGGAAAATCCAAGCAGGGTCACTTTATCAAAGCCTGTTTTTCAGCAAGGTTTCTTGCCCAAGCCACGATTGGTATGGCATTGCCACCCTCTAAACCAAGGTTTGCAATTGATACAGGCAGGCTTCATCCTGTAGCTTCAGAGCCAAACTTTGAACAAACTACTTTGTGGGCTTATTACTGTGATACCACAAAGAGACCAGCTCTTCCCTGCCCAAACTGAAGATGGGTGAACTTCGACTCCCAGAATTCCTCCTGTCATAATTTTGGGAGTTGGAAATCCAGGAATGGTTGGCAGGGGAATTCTGTGAGTTGGAAATCCAGCCATCTTCAAGACATTGAAAAACATCTACTTAAACCTTGATGGATACAAGGTCCCAAGTATGCTTTTTTTTTCCCCCAAAATGCAACTGAAATGCTTCCCCCCCCCCCCCCCCCCAAAAAAAAAAAAAAGTTTTGCTTCACTTCTAATGATTTTCAAAGGAAAAAAAAAAACTAGAAAGTCCAGTTGCTTTTTGGGAGGGGAGACAAGCATGACTTGGATGATGAATAATCTCCATAATTAGACAAGGTGCCTTAATGCTTGTCCATCTAAATGTTGTGTGTTTAAACCCAGACCAGCTTTTGAGCACAAGCCGTTGTCAGGACTCCCAACAAATCCACCCCCATTCAAATCCTAAGCGTCCAGCTGCATCTCAGAGAAAAGAAAATTGGTTTATTAGAAGTGTTAGCTGGGTGCAGCTGATACTAAAATACATCATTCATTTCGCCCTTGACCCTGGCCTTCTCCCCACCCCCCCTGGATAAATCGGCCCAACGGGACCCATCCAAAGCCAAGGGTCTTCCCTCATGCCCCCCCAGTAATATTCTTGCAATCCACAACTTTGTGTTGCCAGGGTGATTATCTAGGCACTTAAGGAATGCAACGTTTCCCCCCACTCTCTTTTTCTGGCAGCTAAAACGACCAAAGGAGTCTCTTTTTAGTTGACAGCCTTTTTAGTTTTTTTTAGTTGACAGGCTTGAGCTGGCCCCTCTGCCAAGGGCTTTCATCCACAGGCTGTACGGTTCAAAGTCTTTATTTGATTTTCAAAGTCTTTGTTATTTTCTCTCTTTCCCAGGGTGTGATGGTCGGGATGGGCCAGAAAGACAGCTATGTTGGAGACGAGGCGCAGAGCAAGAGAGGCATCCTGACTCTCAAGTACCCCATCGAACATGGCATTGTCACCAACTGGGATGACATGGAGAAGATTTGGCATCACACCTTCTACAATGAGCTCAGAGTCGCCCCGGAAGAACATCCTGTGCTGTTGACAGAAGCTCCCCTGAACCCCAAGGCCAACAGAGAGAAGATGACTCAGGTGTGTAATTTGTCACTGCTGTCTGGTCCCTCCCAAAATCTGCCTAGCCTTCTATAATTTTGTTTTTTTCTCCTGCCTACAAGAAATACTTGGCAATCTTTTCATTCTCTTTGTTCATCTTTTATTTTTTTCCTTTTTTTTTTTTACCCTCCCAGCTCTGCAGGATTTTCTTTTCTGATCTTGAGTGTCTCTTGCTGGATTTCGAAAGGTTTTTATCTGCTCTTTTCAAAATAAAATTAAGTTTTCTCTCTCCTTGTTTGTCTTGTGAGCATCACCGCTTCTTCTTTCTCACTCACTCGCTCTCTTTTCTGTGTCTCCCTTCCCAAACTAACTTGAGTGATTTCTGACCTGTTTCTCTCACCTGGTGAAATTTGCAAAATTTTAAATATGCAAATAAGGGAGGAGGAGGAGGAAGGGGTGTGACTTGCCTTAACACCTGGGAGGAAGGTTTGTATGTGTCCGAAGCATGCGTTGAATTCTCCGGGTGTGTGTTCTGCGCATGACGTTGAATGGGGCCTTCTGTTGGCCAAGGTCTTCATCACGGCCGTCTCTTTTTTCCCCCCCCAACCTAGATCATGTTTGAGACCTTCAACACCCCAGCCATGTACGTTGCCATCCAGGCTGTGCTCTCCCTGTACGCCTCTGGCCGTACCACCGGCATTGTGATGGACTCTGGTGATGGTGTCACCCACACTGTGCCCATCTATGAAGGTTACGCCTTGCCCCACGCCATCCTCCGTCTGGACCTGGCTGGCCGCGACTTGACCGACTACCTCATGAAGATCTTGACCGAGAGAGGCTACAGCTTCACCACCACAGCTGAGCGGGAAATTGTGCGTGACATCAAGGAGAAGCTGTGCTACGTTGCCCTGGACTTTGAGCAAGAGATGGCCACTGCCGCGTCCAGTTCCTCTCTGGAGAAGAGCTACGAGCTGCCCGACGGGCAAGTCATCACCATTGGCAATGAGCGGTTCAGGTGCCCAGAAGCTCTCTTCCAGCCTTCTTTCTTGGGTAAGTCCTGAAGGACCACTTATCTTCAAGTAGGACTTTGGTTGGAGAACCTCTTGAAGGGAAGGTGGGTGAGGAGGGTTTTTTGGTGTCCCAGTTTTTATCTTCATAGCGGGCATCTTCTCTTGGCAGGCATGGAGTCTTGCGGCATCCATGAAACCACCTTTAACTCCATCATGAAGTGTGACGTTGACATCCGTAAGGATCTCTATGCCAACACCGTCCTCTCTGGGGGCACCACCATGTACCCTGGCATCGCCGACCGGATGCAGAAGGAAATCACCGCGCTGGCACCCAGCACAATGAAAATCAAGGTGAGACTTGGAGCTTGAACAACTTGGTGATGGGGGGGCAGGTTGAGTGTGGTGGTCCTTCTATAAGCTTTGGAACATTGTGGATATATGCCCCAAGTGACAAGCTTGGGTTAGCAACCACAACTTTTGCGTGTCCCTCTTAACTGGGGAAAACCTTGCATTGTCCCCATTGGATGGCCTCAAGCTGGTTGGTAGGTTTGGATCAAGAATTGGGAGCGGGGGTGATGGTTTGCCCCCTCCCCTTAACTTTAACTAGGAGCATGTGATGCATTGGATGGTGCGGTGGCCTAGAGGTGGAGTTCTTGCCTCATAATCCAGAGGCTGTGAGTTCGATCCTAAGTAGAAGCAGATATTTCTCTCTCTGGGTAAAATGAGAGTATATGACAGGAAGGGCATCTGGCCAGTAATCACTCAGCTCCATTCAGTTGCCCAGACCTCCACCCCACAAGGGTCATTAAAAGGAGGGGGAAAAAGTGATTGGATCTTGGAGGGACCAGTAACTTGATTCAGCTTTAGTTCTAATTGCTTCCTCCTACCTTCTTCCAGATCATTGCCCCACCTGAGCGTAAATACTCTGTCTGGATCGGAGGCTCCATTCTGGCCTCTTTGTCCACCTTCCAGCAAATGTGGATCAGCAAGCAGGAATATGATGAATCCGGACCGTCCATTGTCCACCGCAAATGCTTCTAAAGCAGGACTCAGTTACCACAATAGCATTTTTTTTCCTCTTTTTTTTTTGACAAAAAAAAAATAATAATTCTCCCTCCCTCCTCCCCATAACTTGCGCATAAGCGAAAAAGTTTTGAGATTTGGCATGGCTTATTTGTTTATTTGGCGCTTGACTCAGGATATCAAAACTGGAACGGTGAGAAAAAGGTTTTGACGGCGGAAGCCTTTATTAAAAACAAAAATGCAAAAAAAAAAAAAAGTTTTGGAGCGAACACCTCCCTCTCTCCACCCCCTCCCCTCCCCACCGACCCCCCCCCCCCCAGTTCTGCGGTGCATCTGAAGACTTCGATTGTATGTGTGTTGTTTCTTTTTTTTTTTTTTGAAAACAATAGTCATTCCAAATAATCGTATAAAAATGCATTGAGAGGAAGTTAAACCGGCCTCTGTGAAGGCAGCAGCCCAGCTCTTTCCGAAGAGCAGAAAACAAGATTGCCAAGGTTTATTAATTCTTTTTTTTTTATATATAGAAAGTATTAGCTTTGTCTGTGAATCATGATTCAAGTGTCTCTTGTCTCTTGCGCCTTAAAACAAAACTTTAAAAAAAAAAATAGCCACACTTGATCGTCATCTTTTTGGGGTTTTTTTTTAAAGATTATTTTGGGTCAGGTCCAAAAAATATATAAAATTGAACGGGCTGCGGGTGTTTCTCTTCGTCCCAATGAAACACGTGAAGTGTTTTACCGTCTCCCCTCCTTTTGTGTCCCCTTCCCAACTTCCGAGAGGGAAAGCACCATTGCACCCTTTTAATGCCAGTATGTGTAAGGGGGTACCAGGGCAAGAGGGGGAGGGGCAGGCAAAACTGTATACACTGACTCGAAAAAGAAAAATCCCAGTTTCAAATAAAGATGCACAACCATATAACTCTGGATTGTTTTGTTGGTTTTTATCAAGTCAGCAAGGAAGGGTATCGTTCAACATTTTGAATTGGTGGACGAGAGGTTGGCGAGGTTGGAAAGTTGGCACAAGTTAGATTCTACCCAGGTCCTTTTGAGAATCTGTTCCCTGACATCCAGACTGCTTTCCAAAGCTCCCTTTTACTTAGCAGGAGCGTGTTCAGCCTTGTCAACTTTGGTGGACTTCCATTCCCAGAATTTCCCAAACACCAACATGGTTAGGAAATTATGGGGAGTTTAAAAAGTCCACAAGTCTTAAAAGTTGCCAAGGTGGGAGAACCCAGCTTTCAAGGATGCATTTACTCCAAATAGATGGGGGCCTAGAGAAAGACCTTCATGTTTACAATGGAGCCAAAACCCCCGATTTGGACTACCAACAGCTTGTCATGTTGGCACTTGCTTTCTTTTTAAGATGGCCCGAAAATGGAATATTACTGGTTTTTATCCCTCTAATTATTTTGTAAGTGTAACTCGAGGCAGCAAACTGAAAACTGATTTTGAAGCCTGGTGATTTGAAGATGGGTGGATTTCAACTCCCCAGAATTCCTCCTTCGATAATCCTGGGAGTTGAAATCCATGTATGGCAGGCTGGGAAATTGTAGATAAAGAACATCTTAAAAAGTGGAAAAAAGAAAAAACACTTCTAGAAGCATGAAAATAGAGGAAAATCAGCAATTCCTGTGTTTATTACAGTTTCAATTGCTTATCTCCTAAGCAATATACAGATTATTCTCTATGCAAAATGTTCTGTAGCAGACCTAAGGGAGTTATTCCATCAAACGGATTAGGACAGGACAGGTCATAATTTTCACAGGAGATGATAAAAAACCATAGCTTGCAAGAGCCAGTGGTGGCATCCTCACAATGCATGGTGTCCAATACAATATCAATTATTTTAGCCATTATCTACTATAGGATGAAAGCATCTTCTACATGTTTAGAGCCAATAGGGTCCTAAGCCATGTTTTTCAAACTTTGCAATTGAAGATGGATGAGCATCAACTCCCAGGATTCCCCTTGCCAGAATTCTGGGAAACTCATGCAAGGCATTGATGGAGAAATTCTGAGTTGCAACCTGGATGCTGGAGGATGAACTGGGAGTTGAGGCCCATGTATGTTGGAGGGAGGGGACAGACTCCGGGGAGTTGGAAGTTCACCCATCTTCAAGTTCCCAACTTCGAAAAACATGTGGGAGTCCCAAAGGTGCTTTTTTCAAGAGGAAACAGGACTTTCTTGTTTGGAAGTCCAGTTGCCTCTTGAAAAAGAACCTTTGGGACAACTATGACCTGGATTTTGGTCACCACACTATAAAAAAGATGTTGAGACTCTTAAAGCGTGCAGAGAAGAGCAACCAGGATGATTAGGGGACTAGAGACTAAAACACATGAAGAACAGTTGCAGGAACTGGGCCTGCCTAGTCTAGGGAAGAGAAGGACCAGGGGAGACAGGATAGCAGTCTTCCAATATTTGAGGGGCTGCCCCAGTGAGGAGGAAGGGGTCAAGCTATTTTCCAAGGCACCTGAAGGCCAGACAAGGAACAATGGATGGAAACTGAAGAATGAGATTCAACCTGGAAATAAGGAGAAACTTTCTGACTGACAATCTACCCATGGAACAGAAGTTGCCTTTGGAAGTTGTGGGAGCTTCATCCCTGGAGGCTTTCAAGAAGAGATTGGACTGCCATTTGTCTGAAATGGTGTAGGGTCTCCCGCTTGAGCAAAGCGGTTGGACTAAAAATCAGGGGTCTCCAACCTTGGCAATTTTAAGACTTGTGGACTTCAACTCCCAGAATTCCTCAGCCAAATAAAGCTGGCTGAGGAATTCTGGGAGTTGAAGTGCACAAGTCTTAAAAGTTGCCAAGGCTGGAGACCCCCCTGGATTAGATGAGCTACAAGATCCCTTCCAATACTGTAATTCTATGCCTTCTATGGATGACAACCTCCGTGGACAGATGTGGGAGCAACACAAAAGGCTTTAAAATGGCAATTGCACAAGCTTGGAGACCCCCAAGCTTGAGGTCAGGATTTGTGCAGACCCCCCCTTCTGACCCATAAGTGCAACGGCAGGGGGAAAACCCCCCCATTCAAATACACGAGTTTATGGGGAGGGTCCCCTCCAGGTTGCTGTGTTGTGTGATGGGAACATTCCTGCTTGCATAGAGGCCACGCCCATCATGGCGGCGCCTCATCCAAGATGGCGGCCTTAAAGCGCTCCCTGGGGGTGAGCGGACGTGACGTCACGAGCGCGCCGGAAGCCTCGCGTCGATTCGGTGTGCCGGCTGAAGGGAAAGCCGTATGAGGCAAGGAGGCGGAGGAGGGCGAGCGTCTCAGCTGGCTCGGACGGGGGGTCTTTTCCAGACCATGGCCTCCTCCACCGGTGAGGTAAGCCCGGCTCTCCGAAGAGGCCTCGCCCTTCTCCCTTCGGACCGAGGGCCTCACCTTCCCCGCGAGCCTCGGCGTCTCCATGGCAACCCCTGACTCGCAGGGCACGTCTGAACCCGGGAAGACGCGTGTCGGGGCAGGAGGTGCCTCGCCCGGGGGTGGGGGTGGTTTCCTTTGGCAGCCGAAGACCCGATTTTGGCTGGGCCTGACGTCGGGGGGTCTTATTTCTGGCAAGGGGCCCTGTGGCATTGGACTGCCGTGAACGGGGGAGGGGGGGGCTTCGGGGGCTCGTGGTTTTTGCAGGTCCGTGGAGGTTGAGTGACAGTCTGGCCCCCTTCCAGATGTGCTGGAAACACCCCCCCCCCCTTATAACCTCCCACCAGCTGTTTGGGTCTTGCATTTTAATGGGCAGGGCTTTCAAGGCAGTCTTAAGGGGACTCTCTCCCCCATCATCCACAGCCTGCCTGGACAGTAGGTCTTGCCTTGCCTTCCTCGTCCAAGTTGCTGAAGGTGGGCAAATGAAACAGAGGAAATGCACGGCAAGGAAGGAGTGGAGAGTCAGGCAAACATACCAGAGATTATGAGGATGAGGATGACTATTATTACCATGACTACTACTACTGTTATTTTATTGGTTAATTTTCCATTTGATTCACAGTCTGGACCTGGTAAAAACTTAACAGTTCAAGTCCTAACCAAGGACCTAAGAACTGTTAAGGTAGATTATTATTATTGGTTAATCTTTAGTGACATTCACAGCCTTTGGGGCTGGTTGATAGCTCAACAGCTCGAGTCACCAGGGACCTAGAACCTGTTTTTTTTATTATTATTATTATTGTTGTTGTTGTTTTTGTTGTTGAAAGAAAAGGGTATTAATCTTGGCGATCCTGTTTGGTTGTAGTAGTGGTGAAGGCTGGAAGCCAGGAGACCATGAGTTCTAGTCTCACTTTAGGCACAAAGTCAGAGCTGAAGGAGCTTCTTGGATGAGAAGTGAAACGTCTTCAAGGAAAAACCATCCTCTTGCACACACGCACACACACAAAGCATCTTTACGACAACCAGGAGCTGGAGGACTGAGAATCTCCACAGACACAAAGCCAGCTGGTTGACCTTGGGCCAGTCACTCACTCTTAGTCCTAAGAAGGAGGCAATGGCAAATCACTTTCTAAATCTTGCCAAGGACACTGCAGGGCTAGTCGAGGTGGTCATCGGGAGTCAACACAAAAGCCCCACAGAAAAGCATAATATGTGTAATATATTTACACAGATAGCACCTTAGGAGAAAAGGAAGCAGCCACCTTGGAAGTGGACAGTTAACTGAAAGGGTAGTGTAGTGATCGCTTCCCCCCTTGCTTCAATACCCCTGCCATCGTTTATCTTTAATTGATTTTGTTGTAATTTCATGGCTTGATTGTTTAGCCGTTCTAAGTCACTGATCCTTGGCCAGCATGCAAGTTTAATGAATGATTATTCTGGAAGCCTTCAGTATAAGATGCAGGCACCAATACTTGGGGTTCCTACATGTCCATTACTCTCTAGTCTAGGCAGCCTTCAGCCTTTGGTGCTGAATTTTGAAACAGTTTCTTTCTGTGCTGTTTCAATGGCTCCTAAAATAGTGTTGTCTCTGTTCCTTGACCAGTTGTGTCATTAAATCATCCCCCAAGCTGTCTTTTCAGTGCAAAAATGATACCGCAACACTTCTCAGTTGATTGAGTCCCTTGAGGGATCGGACGGATTCCTTCCCCAAGCTTTTCGTTTCTACTTTTGTGACTTTTCTGAGTCCTTGTTTTCCTCTTGCAGGACGTAATAACCAGCAAGGAGAACCGGGAGGAGAATATCGGCATGAACTTGATGGAGTTTTCGGATGAAATCCTCTTGCACATCTTGCGGTACACTCCCGTGTCGGATCTTGTCTTGAATGTCCGAAGAGTCTGTCGGAAACTTTCCGTCCTCAGTCTTGACAAAAGCCTCACTCACACCGTGATCCTGCATAAAGATTACCAGGTGAGCAGGGGCTGTCGAAGACGACGATCCAGAATTAGGAGGACGCTGGATGAATTGGGTACTTTAAAAACTTGAGTTTTACTCAGCGGATCTCTTTAGGACATACCAGGAGTTTGTAGCAAGAAGAGACCGAAGATGTCACTTTAAAAAGATCTTCCTTTGAGCTTTATTATGGCCTTAGGATGGGGGAATTATCCTTTCCTTTTCTTTAACAAGGATATAAGGAAAAAAATAATAATAAGGGAGACATACCCTACTTTAGAAAGATATAAGGAAAAATACTGATTGATTTTATTTCGAGTTGTCCTAAATTCGTAATTCAGCGTTAATGTAATCCTTTTGTCTCTTTATACTGTCTCTTAGTTCTGTTCAGTTTGGTGGCCAAGCTATTCTTTGATCCAGTTACTTGGAGACAACCATCCCACGACCATGCCACAGATTGGAATCTTGTTTTTTGCAGGATGGCGTAGCCCCCCCCCTTTGCCCCCCCCCCCAGTCTAAAGCCATTTTCCCTGCTTGAAAAAGCAGGTTTTTGCCAAGTTGTTGCTCCTGTTGCGATGGAGCTGCCCAGGATCCTTAAAAGGTTGCAATCCAGACTTAGCTGGCTGTGAGAAACTGGTCTGTGTCTTATTTCCCTTTTCAGGCTTAAAGGAAACTCCTGTGGTATCTGTTAAGGCATTAAGTGAGAAACCAGGAGACTCTGAGTTCGAGTACTGCCATAGGCATGAAAGCCAGCCAAATGTCTTTGGGCCAGTCGCTCAGTTTCAGCCCCTCTTATTGTGGGGGGAAAAAACAGGAGGAAGGAGAACAGTGTGTGATCGCATTAATTTATTTACAAAAATAATAAAGGTGGGGTATAAATAAATGAATAGATAGAATAAACGCACCTTGTTTGCTTTGAGGAGATTTCCAGCCGCCTCTTAACATCACAGGTGGCCTTTGGGTAGGGAAGATTAAGGTGTTTTCCTTCCACCAGAATCAGCGGCCGTTATTCGGCGTTCCCTTCCATAAAGCTTCTCCAGGACTTGCCCACGATCATAAATTTCGGCGTTTCAGTCTTCGGTCCTTGAAAAGGCGTGCATGAGTTGTCAATAAAGCTAAGCCTGGCCTAACCAGTATCCTTTGATCTCTTGAACTCCGTTTCTACGCAGGTGGACAAAGACAAAGTGAAACAGCTAATGAAGGAGATTGGAAAAGAGATCCACGAGCTGGACATGACCGGCTGTTACTGGTTGCCCGGCTCGACCGTCGATCAGGTGACCCGCTGCAAGAACCTGGTGAAGCTGAACCTCTCCGGCTGCCACCTTACCTCCCTCCGCCTTTCGAGGATGCTCTCGGCCCTGCAGCACCTCCGCTCGTTGGCCATCGACGTGAACCCCGGGTTCGACGCCTCCCACCTGAGCAGCGAGTGCAAGGCCACCCTGAGCCGGGTGCTGGAGTTGAAGCAGACCCTCTACACGCCCTCCTACGGGGTGGTCCCCTGCTGCACCAGCCTGGAGAAGCTGCTGCTGTACTTTGAGATCCTCGATCGGTCCCGGGAGGGGTTGATCATCTCCGGACAGCTGATGGTAGGGGAGAGCAACGTGCCCCATTACCAGAACCTACGGGTCTTTTACGCCAGGTTAGCGCCTGGCCCGGTCAACCAGGAAGTGGTGAGGCTGTACTTGGCCGTGCTGAGTGACCGGACGCCCGAAAAGCTCCACGCTTTCCTCATCTCTGCCCCGGGTGGGTTTGCTCAGAGCTGCGCCGTTAAAAACCTCTTGGATTCCATGGCCAGGAACGTGACGCTGGACGCCCTTCAGCTGCCTCGCTCCTGGATGAACGGCTCCAGCCTCCTGCAGCACCTGAAGTTCAGCAACCCTTTCTACTTCAGCTTCAGCCGCTGCAGTTTGTCCGGTGGGCAGCTGGTCCAGCGGGTGCTGAACAGCGGCAGGGACTTGGGTGGCTTGGTGGGCTTGAACCTGAGTGGCTGCGTCCACTGCCTGTCCCCCGATTCCCTGCTGCGGAAAGCGGAGGACGACATTGACAGCGGGATCGCCGAAACCCTGGTGGACACGTGCCGCAACCTGAAGCATCTCAACCTCTCCGCTGCCCACCACCACAGCCCGGAAGGCCTGGGGAAGCACCTGTGCCAGGTCCTGGCGCGCCTGAGGGGCCTCCTCTCGCTGGCGTTGCCGGTTTGCGCCGTGGCCGATGTAGCCGCCACCCTGCTGACTGCTGACAAGCCTTCGGTGCAGCCAGTGGCTCACTCGGCCTCTCAAGGGCTCGGGAAGAAGGTCCGGATCGGAGTGCAGGCGTATCCCAGGAACTGCTTGGAGCAGAGCGTCCCCAGGCCGCCCTCCTCCGTCTTCTGGACTCTCTTGGAGAACCTCCCGTTTCTGGAAAAGCTGGAGCTGATCGGCTCCAGTTTTTCCTCCGCCATGCCCCGCAACGAGCCGGCCATCCGGAACTCCTTGCCTCCCTGCAGCCGGGCGCAGCATATCGGGGACGCCGAGGTGGCTGCCATTGGCCAGCTGGCCTTCCTGCAAAGCCTCACCTTGGCCCAGTTGCCCAACATGCTCACGGGCTACGGGCTGGTAAACATTGGGGTGCAGTGCCAGCGCCTGCGGACACTCTCCTTGGCCAACCTGGGCCTGATGGGGAAAGTGATGTACGTCTCGGCTCTGGTGGACATGCTGAAGCACTGCAGGTGTCTGCAAGATCTCAGGTGAGAGAGCCCAGCAGCTTCCCCCTCCCCCCCACCCCCCGTTTTAGCCCCCCGGGGGTCCTTCTGGGTCATTGTCCCAAAGGAGGCTAAAATGATATGAAGAACGGTTGCAGGATTTGGGTTTGGCCGGTCTAGAGAAAAGAAGGACTAGCGGGGGGGACATGGTGGCATTATTCCAGTATTTGAGAGGCCGCCCCAAAGAGGAGGGGGGGTCCAACTTGTTTCCCAAAGTTGAAAAACCAGCTTCTATCCCAGGGCAGGAGCTCTCTGGAATCCTACTGTATAGGGCAACGTTCATGCCAACATCAGGGTTTTTTTCAATTCAACGTCTAGAACGCGAAGGGTGTGTGCTTGTGTTTATGTTCATAGTCATCATGTGCACTGAAGACGGTGATTTAATTTCATCGTATGAGGTGCAACGACAATCAAGTAAACTCAAACTAAAACAAGAAACAGTGGGTGGAAACCAAGGACAGAAGCAGCCTGGAATTAAGGAGAAACTTCCCAACAGTGAGAACAATCAACCAGTGGAACAGCTTGCTACCAGAAGTTGTAGGTGCCCCATCCCTGGAGGTCTTTAAGAAGAGAGTGAGCAGCCAAATGGCATAGGTTCTCCTGCTTGAGCAGGGAGCGGGGTGGACAAGAAAGACCCCCCAAGGTCCTTTCTCTTCTCTTCTCTCGTTCTACAGCTGCTTTTCAAAAGGCAACTGGACTTGGCTGTTTTTTTTTTTCTTTTTTTCCTCCTCCCCTTCTTGAAAACCTTTCGCTTCTCCTCCAAGAAGCGTCTTCAGTCCTTCAGAAGAAAATTCCCAAATGAGAAGCGAAACGTTTTCAAGGAGGAAAAAAAAAAAAAAAACCTTCACCAGCTTCTTGAGTCCCCTTCCCTTTGAAGTCTTCCAACCCCGCCTTGACCTCTTGAGCAGGGCTGGGCTTCCAAAATTGTAGCCAGGGGTTCTCTGCCCCACTTGCTGGGTGGGTGTGGCCGTGGTGGGCGTGGCCTAGTCGGCCTCCTGCACCACGGCGGGGGGCGGGGCGTTTTTGCCCTTCCCGGACTCCTGAGGCTTTCCTCAAGCCTCCTCCAGGAGAGCGGAAACGGCCTCCTTCCCGGGGCTCCGGAGGCTCTCTGGAAGCCGGGAACAGGCCCATTTCTGGCCTTCTCGAACTCCCAGGGGGGCCGTTGTTCGCCCTCCATGCGCGCCCTGCCCTTACCTGCATCCAAAATGGGTCAGGTGGGGACTGTGGGGAGGGGTGGGCGGGGCCAGCCAGGCGGGGGATTGGGCGGCTTTCCATATGGCACAGAATCTTAGCTAGGGGCTCTCCCAAACCCCTAAGAGCCCACCCCTGCGGTCTCGAGGTATGGAATAGGTGTGGTCCGGGATAGGCAGAAAGCCCCCCCCCCCTTAAGCGGTTGCCCTCCTTGCTTGAGGGTTCCTTCCTAAGGACAAGGGGAACCCCCCACCCATGCAAAACGAGGCAGTGTGTCTGATGCAGCCAGCTGGGGATCCTCTGAGCTGTTTTTCTCTCTCTCTCCCACCTCTATAAACGTTTACCTGGCTTCCGAGGAAACCTTGGAAAAAGGTCATTTTAATCGGGACTCTTCAGACGATGGAGCAACATCTGGTGGATCGAGCAGGAAATTACAAGATGGGATTTTTTCCCCCCCCCAGCCCTGCTCCCTTGTTGAAGACAATGGCTGCAAAGTCCCCCTCA